ACTGCATCTGGCCAAGGGTCATATTTTGATCTCCCAATTACAGACAGGACCAGCACAATCAAATTGTTGAGATTCGACAAGATGCCTGACAGAAGTTGTAAATTAAGTCTGCCCCCCCCCCCCCCCCCGCCATATTAGTTTAGATGTTTGCTGTACCGAAATGGAAGATATGCTCTGCTGTTCAATGTATAAATTAAATATTTCTGTTTGTATCAGCTCAAATAACATCGAGTGGGCATTAGGTAGATTCCAGCATTTTGGAGGAACATACTGCCTCAATATTTATTGTTACTTCTGTGCTGAAGATAAAGGTAATAGGACCCTCTGAAAGACTGGTAACTACGTAAGATGCTTTATACTGAATGTTCACATTAATTCTGTTTCTTAGTGGCAATTCTTTCTTTTAAATTATGCCGCCAGTTTTGAGACACCCTGTCGCCAGAGTTCGTCTGACGCAGTATATGACCTGTTCCTTCCACTTGTAATATAGTTCAGCAAAAGAATATATTTTTCATGTTCGGAGACATACTAAACGCTAGTATTTGAAATATTAAAAGTTGTGATGAGTATTTAAAGTTTAGCTGGCAGTTTTTAAGACCTCTTAATGTATTTTTATTTTCTAAATGGGCAGTCTTGTACCTTACATATGTGCGGATGAATACAAGTAGAGATGTGTTCCCCGACTTTTAGTCGCCAGTAAACAGAAGCCATAATATAGCGAGGTAGGTAAGTAAACATTTGTGACAAAGAATGCTTAAGTTGGACGAAATGCATTATTGTAATTGAAGTACTACACGCCAGCAAACAGGAAGAGCACAGTTCTGGTAAGTATATGAGAAAGATATTATGTAGTAGAGGTGTTGGTTCAGTTCGTGAAGTACAGACACCCAGCCACCCGTTCGAACCCGTTGAGGCTATGCAAGAATGTCCAAGCAGAATTCTAAAACATAAAGGAAATTGTGTCTTGTGTTTGGCAGATCGACAGGAAATGTTTTCCTTAATTAAGTCATGTATGTGTATTGGTTTGTAAAACTTTGAGCCTTAAAGTACCATGTGCAGAGTGCTGTCCGTATTTTCGTATTCCTGAGTCATAGTTAAATTTTATATTGTGAAATAAAGGAAAGTCCAGAACTGCAGTTTTTATATTGTGCAACAGAGAAAGATATAGAGCTGCAGATAATTTCTTATACAGTTAAGTAATGACTCATTAAAATTTATAGTGTTATCCATTTCCTAGAAATTTATCAATAATTTTTTCTAGTATAGATGTTAGTAATTTGTTCTTACATGACCGTTATATTTGTTACAGTTTTAATGTTATAATGTTTTGTTTTATTTTATGTATAGGCAGTAAATTGTAAGAAAACACTATTGGCCTAAGTGAATAAGGATGGACGCAGATGAAGCAGAGTCCTCGGGATCTGGCGGTCCCATCTCATCACTTAACAGCTTATTCTCATTCACCAGTCCTGCAGTAAAGAAACTTTTGGGTTGGAAACAAGGTGACGAAGAAGAAAAATGGGCAGAAAAAGCTGTTGATTCTTTGGTCAAGAAGCTCAAGAAGAAAAAGGGTGCTATTGAAGAGTTGGAGCGAGCTCTGAGTTCACCCGGACAGTCCAGTGATTGTGTCACTATACCGCGCAGTCTTGATGGACGGTTACAGGTATGTACTTTAAATGCCATAGGTATAATTTGTGGACAATATTCAACTTGAGTCTTCGTGAAACTGCAAAGCTCACAAGTAGTTATTTTTTCTACATTATCTCCATGCTGCACGTTGGTCTATAATTGTCTTATTCATCCCTGTGATTTTGGTATGAGATTGGTTCTTAGTTCTGACAATGGAAAATTGTTGTCAACTGATGGTGCAGGTCTGAGATTACAAAATATACCTTCAAAATGTTGTCAGTGGGCAACTACACACTTACCATTGACTGTAAAGTTCTTAGAACCACCACTGGAAATTATTTTTGAGAATGCTCTTTAGAATAAGCCGTCTTCGAATCTTCCACATCGTCAGCACTACAGAAATTCCATCTCTTCAGCTGAGATTTCACAACCCTGAAGTTGTGAAAGTCTGATAGTGAGTGATCTAGTGGACATGGAGGATGTGGTAGCACTTTCGCATTGACATTTGCCAGGATGGTTCAGTGTGGACATCTTGACTGCTGACAAGGAAAGCGCTTAACCGATGGAAGAATTTGTCATCGTTTTGCAGACGGACTTGTGAAGTGTGCCAGGAATAAAATATGACTTCATTTACATTTGTTCAGTAACGAACCACATGAGAAGCCAACAGTATTATTGCGAGAGAAGTATGGTTCATTGTTTTATGTTGTGGGGATGATAGCTTTGATGTTTGTGTTTTGCTTCTTCAGGTTTCCCACCGGAAGGGCTTGCCACACGTGATTTATTGTCGAGTTTGGAGATGGCCGGATTTGCAGTCGCATCATGAGTTGAAGCCAATGGAGAACTGTCGCTTTCCTTTCTCTGCAAAGCAGAAAGAAGTGTGCATCAACCCATACCACTATAAACGGGTCGAGAGTCCAGGTAATGAGCTGCAGATTGTAGTATTAACCAAACTGCCGGTTATAAGGTCAAGGCTAAAATGTGGTTTGTATGGGACAAGAACAGAAAATGCTTTGTATAAAAAAAGTTAGGAAAAAATGCTCTTGTCTTTAATAAGGAACCAAAATTTATTTACAGAGTCGTTCATTAGTGTAAGTAAATATTTATTTATGTATTTATTTCTTGTTTGCAGTGCTGCCACCCGTGTTGGTGCCTCGCCATAGTGAATTTGCACCAGGTCATTCCTTGCTACCATTTCAGCAGCTTCCTGAGCCCGCAATGCCCCACAACGTGTCCTATTCGGCCGGAGGCTTCACAAATGGGGGTCCTGGAAACCATCCTCACCTCAGTCCTGGTCCAAATTCGCCAATGAGCAGTGTTCCAAGTCCTGGAAGCACCCACTCAAACCCTCAAAGCCCATATGGGAGCAATGGGCTGCCAGGTATGCAGCCTTGCGTTACATATTATTTAATTTGCCGTCATTTCATTTTAATACATCGTGAATAGAAGCGTATGCTACATTAAGGAGTTTTTTTATACATTTTTTGCTAATGGTGAGCAAAGGAATGACATTTCCAAACTCATTTGGACCAAAAATCTGTAAAGGTTGGTATGGCTGTATTTGGGTGTGTAAGAGGTAGAGGCAGACAGAGTTACGGAACTTCATCTGAGTAGGTAGTGACTTGAAGGCGGAAGCGTTATTGCCAGATTTATCTTGCACATTTTTTCTCTGATTGAATGTGGTTATTTTACTACTACTGTTGTCTGTTGTAAGAGTGATGCTCTATTGACATACGAAATAAATGGAAGAAGGATCTCCGCTCTCTTTTCATCTTGTTAAATCCTTGGAACAGAAGAAACATTTTATGCAATTTCTTATGAAAAGTGATTGGTTGAGTGCAGGTAGGATATTCTGACTTCCTAGAATAAATACACTTAGAACTTGAGGTGAAGCGACTCCTTTTCCACATGGATGAGATATCAAGTGTTGCCAACTGTGTCTTCTGCTAAGTGTAGTGTCACCATTATAACAAAAGGCGGTCTTACACAGGAGGAAGATGAATCAAACTTATGTATATGTTGAATATATTGATAAAAATTGTTTATGGTATTGCATTATATTTCAGAAACTCCTCCCCCTGCATATAGCCCCCCTGAGGACAGTCAGCAGGGCCAGTCTGCGGCCTTGGCCGATCCTTCCGCAATGGACACTACAAGTAACATAATGCCTGAGGTTGCCCCTGTTTCGTACCAGGTAAATGTGATCTTATTTTGTTTGACAGCGTACCAAAGGCTAGATGATCATACAATAAGTTACGTAACATGTCAGCGCCTCTTAAATTCCGTGCTTCACTTTAATGTGTGGGAGCGTGCAGATAAAAAAGTTGATGTTCTTGCTACGAAGCTAGGAGCATCCATCACGCATAAGTTTATTTCATGGCTGCACTGTCTATAAAAATGAAGTTCCTGAAATTATTCCTTTGGTGTATGTCATTAATTCTTCTGTTTTTTAAAGTGACTGAAACGACCAAACCAAGTTATGTCCAATCTTGTCTTGCAGGAACCTCTTTATTGGGCGGACATCGCATACTATGAGCTAAACTGTAGGGTAGGAGAAGTGTTCCATTGTCAGACAAATGTCATCATTATTGATGGGTTTACAAATCCTTGCAACAACTCTGACCGATTTTGCTTGGGACAGTTGTCAAACGTAAACCGCAACTCGACCATCGAGAACACGCGTAGGCATATAGGGAAAGGTAAGAGGTAGTGACTTTCAGTCAGATTTAATTAGTTTCAGAGATTCATTGGTGAAGAATTTACATAATTTCTAGATATTTAGTTGTAATTTTTAATAATGCTGACGTGAATTATTTTTTAATACCTGCATTTTATCCCCGTGGACTGACGTAAAATATGTAGTAGGCTGTGACCAAAAAAGTGTATATTTAAAAATGTTCGTACATGGCCCATGTCACTAGTACCATTGTATTTTTTCAATATTCAGTGTGGCTCCATTTCACAAGACCATCATACAGTCATCACGTTTCTGTATTTAGGTGTTCAGCTGTTTTATATTGGAGGGGAGGTGTATGCCCAGAACAAGTCGGACAGTGCCATCTTTGTGCAGTCTCGAAACTGTAATCATCACCACGGTTTTCATCCAAGTACTGTTTGTAAAATCCCTCCTGGCTGTTCGCTCAAGATCTTCAATAACCAGGAGTTTGCGCAACTCCTGTCTCAGAGCGTTAACCACGGCTTTGAGGCTGTCTATGAGCTCACCAAGATGTGTACAATAAGGTGAGTTTAAATGAAGGTCAGACACATGAATGGAGAATAGTGCACCATTAAATATACTTAGGTTTGAGAATTGTTTAATGTCTGTGGCATTTATAACGAATACTTCCACAACGCAGTTTTCATACTTCGGTTACCTCATAATTCATGTGTGAATTTTGACAGGTGACGATAAAATGTTCATGTAGCATGACGGATAATAAAGGTGTAGCCCCCTGTGGGTTCTGATTGTAGGATATTTTCTGTTTAGGATGTCATTTGTGAAGGGTTGGGGTGCAGAGTATCATCGCCAAGATGTGACTAGTACCCCATGTTGGGTAGAAATTCACCTGAATGGACCTCTTCAGTGGTTGGACAAAGTTTTGGTGCAGATGGGGTCACCAATTAATGCCATTTCCTCTGTATCTTGAGGAGCCCGCTGGTATGCGCTCTGTGTAGTTTTGAAGCCAGTGTCATGATGGTATGAGGAAGACGTGGTATTATTGGTTGTCGTCGTCGGGTGCTACATGTCTCCGGTTTTCGGACAGGTTGGAACATTGTGAATTGATATGTTTTAGCAGAATTTCTGGATCTAAGGTATGTTTTTCTAGAAAAGAATGCAGCTTTTCCAGAAGATGAAAGGGAAATTATTGACTGCGGTTTTTATAAGTAAATAAACATCTCAAATATTGCTCCAGGTTTTATGCCAAGAATATCTGTGAAAATGTTCAAGCTGAAACAGAAAGCACGTAGATCGGTTGATGGGGAAACGGCTGCACCCACACTTCGTGCGGCACGCGTTCTCCGCCCAGTCGTGAATGTCGGACTGTCTCGCGTTGGAACACAACAAATGTTAACAATTGATCTCTGCAATGAAAATGCAAAGGGAAGTACAGTAGGGTGATTTTTATGTGCTGTAACATGTTGTCATTTGCATCTAGATATTTGGCAAAGATATTAATGTGCAAATCTTTTTTCATTTTATTTGTGCACAGTGCGTGTGTGTGTTGCTGCTTTTTTAATTACATGTTTTAAAACGGAATATGAATGAATGTGCAAGAGAATATTTGCTTTCTAATGCAATCAAAGACTATTTGTAATGTAGTTAATTAAATTAAACACAGGCCTTACTGGTAAAAATTATTATTGCAATGGACAACTGTTGACACTCTTATATTGCTTGTTTATAATTATATAATGCAATTGTTCCTAAGGTCACAAGATTTTTTATTTCCTGTTACTTAGTGCCATCCTGGTAGAGGGTGAGTGTGAATGAGTTTTTATATTTGCTCTGCATATCCTTTTGATAATACAGCTATCCACAATCATTTGCAGCGTTAGGTTTCAGAATGGTCTCGTGTTTTAAAAGAATGACTGGTTGTGAGATTTCTGTATTTTTCGTAGCATCTTTGGAAGTTGTGGTAATGGGTGTAGTGTCAGAGGATGCAGACCTTAATATGTGTGTCTCATATTTTAGTTTTTGTTGTAATTTTTTAATTTATCATCAAAGATTGATATGTTCACAGTGTTCCAGGCATGTGGAGGACATTTAGTCATTGATATTAAGAAGGTATAAATTCACAGAATAACATCTTTAACCTCCATATGTGTGGAGCACAGTGGTTGTTGTTTGTTTCATCTTTTAAAAAAATAGCACATGTATAGTGTTCACAAGTAGATAAATTAGTTTTGAAGTTAATTTTATACAAGTCACTGTTAAAATAATATAAGTGCCTGTGATTCCTGGCACCAAATTAAGTGTTCAATTTACAGCTTTTTATACTCATTGAACAGATGGTTAAATATTTTCAGACTTTGATGTTTTTTGTGCTTTTGTGTTTGCCAAACTGACATTGCATTTGTGCGTTAAAGTGTTGTTATGTCCACTTCAACAGAATGACAGCAGTTATGTTTTGTGGTGCCTTTCTGTTAAGCATAAACACTAGGTCCATTTTGAGTGCTCTTATCGATAGTGATATTGTGTGCAAGAACAATAAGTTACATGTGTCAAAAGATTAAAATTTGAAAACATTTCCAGAAAGGTTGTGACTTGTGGGCCAGCAGAGCAATTAGTTTGAGTCATGGCAAGTTCTGTTCTGACTACCATTCCAGCTCCAACATTCATTATCTGTCATTACATTTTTTAAGAAAAATAATAAAGTATGTATCATTGTGCACCTTGTAATATGAAATGCATACTGAGCTTTCTTTTTAAGAGCCGCAGTATTTATCTTTACATAATGGGAAGGGAAGATTTCCATACTGTCCCTTCAAGAAAGCTTGGTTGTTGTGACGGCGTCTATAATGTTGAATGTTAATTACAATCATCACATGTACAAGTTGAGTTCTGTAAATTTTTTTAATCGTAAGTCTTTCCAGGGTTACTAATCAATGGATTATTATTTAACATTTTGATAGGTACTGGACATCGTTCTCCCATGCTTAAAACAGGTGGAGTACAAAGCTGATTTTCTCCATCTAGTGTAAGGGTTAATGATGGACCTTCACCTCTGCTCCTTCATACACGTTCATGGCATGGTGTTTCAACTAGGAACATCTTCAGTTTCTCCTTTACATTTCCTGATATGCTGTTTGAGTCCAAATAATGTAAAAATGTTTATCATGGAATCCCATTTCCAGGATTCTGTGGCCACATTGGATTGTAAATTTGTAATGGAATCCCATTTCCAGGATTCTGTGGTCACATTGGTTTGTAAATTTGTGAAGAAAAAATTAAGTTCAGGGTCTACAAAATATTACCTGTGTTTCTTTTCTTTTCAGACTGTTTGAATGTGACACTTCTGAAAAGTTTTCCATAAATGTTGATATTTAAATGATGGCTTTAGACAGTTGTGTGGCAGACACAGTGACAGATAGACTTGATCTTCGGAAGGTCTTGTTCTCTGCACGCCAGATTCTTCAGTGGCTCTTACACTACGCAGCCTGTTAGGTTCTAGAGAAGAGGAGAGTGAGTAGGTTTCAAAATGGGGAAGTTGATCACCTCAAGCAGTAAACTGACTTAGAGAAATCTGATGTCCAAAGAAAAAATTAAGTTCAGGGTCTACAAAATATTACCTGTGTTTCTTTTCTTTTCAGACTGTTTGAATGTGACACTTCTGAAAAGTTTTCCATAAATGTTGATATTTAAATGATGGCTTTAGACAGTTGTGTGGCAGACACAGTGACAGATAGACTTGATCTTCGGAAGGTCTTGTTCTCTGCACGCCAGATTCTTCAGTGGCTCTTACACTAGGCAGCCTGTTAGGTTCTAGAGAAGAGGAGAGTGAGTAGGTTTCAAAATGGGGAAGTCGATCACCTCGAGCAGTAAACTGACTTAAAGAAATCTGATGTCAATTGTTAATATTTTATGACACTAGAATTTACAGGGAAGACTTTGTTAGTGCCTCCCAAGCTGGACTCCCTTTCTGTGGCTGCCCACCACTGAAATATTTGCAGGTACCCACCACATGAGTGGTGACGAGGGCTCCATTTAACATGGTTACACATGACGTTTTGGGAACAGGCTCGCCCTCGTCCATGCTGTCGTTTGCAGGTCATCATTATACAACCATGCGATTCTTTTTGTCGTTTTTAAGGTTATTAACTACAACTGGGGTGGGGGTGTTGAAAAATTATGCGAATAGCAATACCACTGAACTGACAATAATAGAATGGTGGTTAGACATTGTACTTAATGTACCTGAGACTCGACAATACCCAAAAATTGCGGTGTATCGAATCGACCAGTGTCACAAACTGTTGGACAATTAATAACTAGGTCGGTTTAGAAAGTTCAACTGCTTCTGTGATTGAGCAACCGCAACACAAAACAATCATTAATACAGATACAAACTTGCTATAGCAATTCAACTATTTTGAAAAATAAAAATTATTTCAGACAAGCTCAACATAATGTCCTAATTGTTATTGCTATAATGGTCAACGTAACCAACATAATCTATTGATTATTTCGAGGCAGAACTGCATGCTTTCTGAAGGCACCTGTTTCCCTGGGACAATTGAAGGCGGTCTATTCAAACCCGCCAGTATTGATTGGATGTCACAGCGAAGTATGTTTGTGCGGCGGCGCCATAAGTTGTCGAGGGTGGACGAAAAACACTGCTGACATTATCGTGCAGCCCTTGAAGGGGAATTATGCACAATCTCAGTATTCGAAGGTTTCTGTGTGACCGTGCGTAGAATCGTGTGCGTACATGGTTGGTTTCCTTCGTTCTGTATTCATCTGGGAATGTTTGCAAACGAGATGAAATGAATTTGTTCTCATCGGATTTTGTTACATCAGAAATGTGTTTATCCTTCGGTGAGGCATTCAAGGCTGAGTAAGTGAATACTGCTAGCGGACGACAAGCGCTGTACAGCGATGGCGAGGGTGAGTAATTCTAATCCATTTGATGAATAAAAATTACAATTGCGTCATTTTATAAGCATTGAATAAGCATGGCTCTGACGGAGGAAGCCATTACACGTCTCTCAGATTGTATGAAGTAGCGTTTTGGAAGCATACTATATGCTCACATAGACTATTCAAAAGATTAATCCGACCCCCTTAAATCGGAACTTTTCCAAGAAATGAAACAAAAAATTAACAGTTTTTCTAACCTAAAACAACTTCAATGTAATACAACATGAAAGATCTGACCACAGAGGCAATTACTGTTTTGTGTGTACGTGCGTATATTTTAATTTCGTCTACAATTTTAATTGATTTAATAATATGAGCAAGATCTAGATTAGAATTTGTATAGGTAACAAAAATCTTTAATTTATAACTTCTGAGTGATTTGGTTTCGTAGTATAATTACGAAAACCTGTCTAACTATTATTATTATTGATCTAGTTGTTGATGGGGCTAAAATCACATTCATTACTTCTCGTGTGCGTACTATATTTCCCACCCATTTAATCTTCCTTAACTGCAGGAGCCTAATAATATTTGGCGAAAAGTTAATGAAGGCCCTCGCCCGGCCTCAATTTTTATCAGCACCATTTAGTTTTGAATTATCGATCTTCTCAGTTCCTTGCACTCTGCGCGATTCTTCGTTCACATTCTTATTGTTTTATAACCTCGCGTGAGCATTAAAAGTGAGATTTCTCAAGATGTCTCATGTTTTGGTACGATCCGCTGTGTAGTCGGTTTAGGCAGAAACTTTGTGTTTGTTTCCATAGTTACTCAGTGTTACGTGTGTCCATTATTCTGCTTCATGGAGCGAACCGTAGGCTGTAGTTTCACTCGTTTCGCTCTGACTGTTCCTCGACTGAGGAAAACATGACAGCAGCATTACAAGGTTTAATGACACAGGTTATTTTCCAAGCCTGGGCAATTGTATGTGCGGTGCGATTCAGTTGTTCTCACTAAATGTAATTAGTATTCACTTGAAGGTAATGCAGGTTGACTTCAATCTCCGCCTCCAGTTTCTTACTATTATCTGTTGAGGCCATGACAGCATCGGTGATTTATGATGTTGTTAACAACAGTTTCGGAGTAGCATTCTCCCTCCATCTTCAGGGTGCCCTGAACACGATTCATGATATCACAGTCAGAAGTCTCCCATCCGAGAGAACCTCATTTAGGTTACATTGATCCTGAGATGACACTTCTCGGGTGCCCTGTACTTCACAGGATCTGACGCAGTCAACGCTCTGCTGGTGAACCGTGGTCATGCAGCTTGTTGTTACACGATGCACTTTACTACACTGTTTGCGTGCGTGCCTCGTCCTAGGTTGCGTCAAACACGTCTACGTGGTTCCGTTGTCCACGGAGCTGATCGGAGACCGGCTGTCCTGACTGAGGAGGGAGTTCAGTGTTTTCCTCAGTCCCATCAGATAAATGCCGGGACATTACCTGAAATTAGCCCGCGAATTTGGCCATTAAATAAACAACTGACCTCTGAGTAAACCTAATGCCACTACGTACCTCCCCATCGCCTGTTTCGGAAAACATGGCCACGCTGCGAACTTGTGCGGTGATGCAACATTGCCAACTTTACTCTGACAGACCTTAGGACCTGTAGAGGACTTATCTACTTTGGGTCGGCAGCATAGATAAAACCGCGGAAAATAAGTTTGCGATAAGCACGAAGCTTGTACGAGCCAGAATTAGTGGCGTATAACAGAAGTCCCATTACTTGCATGAGTGCAACAGTATTAAATGGGATTCGAGGTCATGACGGCGGCGGTGAATCCGAAGATGGCTGTCTTCTGGGTTGCAGCTAATCGCCCTGATGATGGAGGCAGCAAGGACCTCTGAAGCGTCGTTAAACTTCTACCAGACTTCACAGCGCTACAACCCATAAGACAACCATCTTTAACACCAGTATGTTCGATAACATTCGTGAGTGACCCGTGTCGTGGGGGGCATACTGCCTCTGTTTTCAGGGTTGAAGAGAGATATGTCTTTGCAAACCCTGATGTGTGTAATTAATCGCATCCAGAAGCCGTTCTCTCAACCATCAGAATGTGGAAGCGCGCGCAGTGGAAGGTGACTGGAGAGGGAGGGAGCCAGGTTTGTAACACGCACGCAGTTGTTAACAATCTCAGTTTCAGTTCATCTTTGTGTCGCAGTGGATGCTCGTCAGTTTGTGTTGTGCCTCTGCGTTCATGTGATGAATAGTGAAAGGTTCGTCGCTCGTTCTTGTGACTTGTTTTAGAACAGCCGACTCAAAATCCCGAACTTTTTTTCCCTTTAGCAATTCCGGGCCGGAGCATTTCAGTACTGATTCATTGTTTCGAGAGTGCCCTGGTATATTCCCCACGTACAAAGCACCTAGTGACTTCAATTTGAGTTTTGTCACTGTTGCAGTATATAAATTATTCTTCAGTGGGGATTTACCGATGTTCATATACATCGAGGATACTTTTAACCCTTCGAAGTCTAAGATCGTCTAAATAGCATTTAAGAATTCAGTCCGTACCGCGAAGAAAACACCACACTTCACCATTACAAAAATCAACTGGTTAACCCTTTGAAGGCGAAGCTCGTCTTCGTAATATTTAAGAATTCAGTCCTTACCGAAAAGAAAACACAACGCTTCAACATTTTAAAGTTCAACTGTTTAACGCTGTTTGAGGAAATAATCCTTAATTAAAGCTGAGAATCATACAAAATCCATAAATACAAAATTTAGATCGTTTTAGCAGATGGCAGTTACTACGAAGCCTTTGAATTGTAGACATTTAAAATGTTATCTGCTCGCATTTGCCTGAAATTTGTATCAGCGTAAAAGAATCTTTTGCAATTAGTTACGAAGCAGCAAGGCAAACATTTTTTCGTGTCTTCTGATGATAAGCGTGTGTCGTATCGTGTGATTAATCCATCTTATATTT